ACTTGATCTTCTTGAAACTGCAGACTGCCCTTACCAAGTCTTCATAAGATGTCTTCTCAGACGTAATCTTCTCTATCTTCTTTATGTACTTATTTATGATGCTGCAAATAGGAATTGGCTTGCATTCTTTTCATCCAACAAATTGTTGCAATACAGGAGAAAAGGATTGCAGTGGCAACAACAATTGGCGAGAGATAGAATCTCTAGTACAAGAAACCAGTAGCTTCTGCTTTGTTTTCCTGTCAACCAGTGCTGAAGAAAGATGCATACCCCTTGTTGGGATGCTTGTACACAGATGATAGTTTCTTTCAATTGAAACCGTACCAGTAATGTAAAAAACACCATGTGTCGGAACTGCTCAATCATACTGGTTGAATGATAAATTGACACCGCACCACTGAAGCCAAAAGCATAGAGATTTTGAAGATTTAACTTGGTAGACGCCCATCTAGTGAGTTGTAAGCAAGGATTAGTTCGGTGAGTCGAGTGCATCGTGCTATGCTTGCTGGTATTCTTCCATCGACACTGTTATGATCCAATTCAAGTACACTCAGCTGGACAAGATTGCCAATGGTATCTGGAATCTGACCTGAAAGCCTGTTTTGTGCAAAGGATAGATATACCAAGTTGTGCAATTTCCCAATTGTTGGTGGTATATTACCGGCAAGAAGATTGTAATTCATGTACAAGCTATTGAGGCTCGTAAGGTTGCCAATCTCCGGTGGAATAGGTCCAGAAATTTTGTTGCTACTTAGAAACAACCACTCCAGACTATTTGAAAGATTGCCAATAGAACTTGGCAGTTTCCCTTTGAGATTGTTCCCATCCAGGGCCAGCATGGTCAACCTGGAGCAATTAGATAGTGAAGAGACAAAGCCCCAATCACCTGCTTCTAACTTGTTGTGTGCCAAATCGAGTTCCTCCAAATTTGGCAATGAGCCGAAAAATGGTATGGATCCAGTGAAGCTATTATTAATCAGGTAAAGCCAGCGTAGGTGGTAAGCTTTGAGAAGAGAGGCTGGGATTGGTCCATCGAAACTGTTTTCTGTGAGTATTAAGTCCTGGATTTTTGGGAGGGTGTAGCCGACATCAAAGGGTAATCTGCCGACAAGTGAGTTTTTTGCTATGGCGAGACTTTTCAGGGATGACATGTTGAAGATAGACGGTGGAACCGGCCCAGATAAGTTGTTCATAGTCAAGGTCAATACCCCTAGTGTTGGAACATAACCTAAGCTCTCTGGGATGCTCCCAACTAAATGATTGTCTGTAAGAAGAAGATGAACTAGGGACGAAAGGTTCCCTAGCGAGGAAGGTATTCCTCCTGAAAGATTGTTAAACCTTAAAGAGAGGTGCTTAATAGGGGAAGATGTGACAGTGACAGAAGGTATCGAACCAACAAAACTGTTCTTTTCGAGGCAAATGGTAACAAGTGACAAAGTGTTGAGGAGAGCCTTTGGGAGTTCTCCAGTAAGATTATTCTTCATGAGCCTAAGTACTTGAAGAGATGAACTATTTGCCAAGGACTCCGGTATGACCCCTCCGAGAGCATTGATCCCAAGATCAACATATGTGAGATGGCGGCTGCTGCCCAAAGACGGCGGTATGTTGCCGGTAAGTGTGTTGCTGGCGAGGACTAGTATGCGCAGCTCAGGAAGGTCTCCAAAAGCAGGAGGGACACTTCCCTGGAGCTTGTTATTGCTAAGGTTAATCTCTTGAAGGCACTTGCATTGGCCGAGCGTGGGTGGGATCTCTCCATGGAGGGAATTGTTCCACAAGCCCACGATTTGGAGCTGGGAACACGCAGAGAGTTCAGGCGGGATGTTACCTTCCAAAGCGTTGATGCTGAGGTTGAGGTTGGTGAGCCGGCTCAGGAGGCCAAGCTCCGACGGCAGGCCATCACTGAAGCTGTTGTTTGACAGCTGGAGCCTTGCCAGCCAAGTGAGGTTGGTGATGCAAGGCGCTATGGAGCCCGAGATGCCTTGGGATTCAAGGTCCAGTGCAACGACACGCCTGGGTGGTGTCACGCTGCAAGTGATCCCGTGCCAGTCACAGAATTCCATGGACGCGTTGCTCCATGAAGATAGGACTCCGGCGGGTGCCGAGATCCCGGACTTGAAGCAGAGGAGGGCTTGCCTGTCGCTCTCTGATTCATCGCAGATGCCTAGTAATGGTAGGCTGCAGAAGAAACCCAAGAAGAGGCAGAGAAATCGATAGAGGCCTGGAAACAAGAAGGCACCCGAAGACACCATTACTCAGTGTTACGATTTTGATGGAAGCTCTAGCTTTGCAAGAGGATGTTAAAGTATGTGTGTGTTGCAGTACCTCACCCACTTTAGATAGTAGGGGATTGGAGCAACAAGCTATGATATAATAATGGGCGGCTGTGCGACCGTGCTGGATGCTACAGACAGAGGAGCAGGTAAGGTACTCAACACCGAAACATAATGGATTTTGGACCTTCTGGAAAATCTGCCTGAAACTGAATGGTGATATCTGCAAGTCATTGTTCCAGGCTTCCAGCAATAATACCTGCGAGTCATTGCTGCAAGTCATGAGCTAGCTTCCAGGATATAGAACAATGGTTTGGTTGGGGTCCTGTCCAGCCAAAGCAGATGATATCTGCAACTCGGAGTGTACTATCTCTGGCAATTAATATATTAGCACACATGCTTCCAGTTTAACGGTAATGTCGAAATCAATAGGGCAGGTGCATATGAGCGCGTGATTAATTTGGAGTATGTGCCTGCCAGCGACCCTTGAATCAGCTGGAAGCGGTTGTCGGCACTCCACTTGGACTTACAATATGGGATTCCTAGCAAGTTGTCCCTTGTCAGGTTGCTGTTGGATTATTTGGGAAAGGTAGTATAAGACGCATTGGATGATAGTACATCTCAAGGTACTAGTCATCGTCGTTACATGGATGGGCATCGAGCGATTTGAAAGAAGTACACTGAAAGGTGAAGATTGTTCTGCAGAGTCAACTAGAGAAACACGGGGTCCTGACGATTGCTAAATGGTCGTTTCATCCTTGTAAACCGCCTATGGACTCCTTTTGACTCGAGGTTTCAGACTGAGAAAGTAACAGATACTCCTGCTAATCAACAACTTTTTTATAAAGCCGGCTGAAAGCGACATAGCTGGGGATAACGCTTACAAGGAAGAAACAAAGTTTTTCTGTCAGTTGTTTCTAACATTCCAAAGAGCCCAAGCCGTAGCAGCAAATCCCATCCAAATGAGCTGCTGAACTTGATTAGGGAGACATGATGGCGCTCAGGTGCACCCAAGCATGTCTTGGACACAGTCCCAGAAGAACAACTGAGCCATAACTAACGCAAGTAAAGAAGCATATAGGCCATCGTCTGTCTCATGTCTCTTCTAAAACTTTGACGAGGTCGCCTCTCTTTGCTCTGCCTCCGTCGTCGACTTGTTTTGCCAGAAAAACGAAAAATAAATATGAGTCTAGTAGGTTAAGCTCGGATGATTGAGACTTTCAAACTGTTCTTATGGAGTGAGCAATAGCTAGCAACTCTGAAAACGACATATCCGTCTTAATTAAGCTGTCCTTTGCCTAAGCTAGGTAGCTGGTAGTGAGAATCAATGGCATCCCCGCTGTGCTGCTCAAGCCAGGAACTGTCGATGATGCTCCGGCTTCTCCAGCTGCTCAAGCCGTGGTTCGGCAGCCTCCACCCGCTCCTGCAGGTATGCAGTGCACTCAACCATCTACTCTCAGCATGCATGTTCTCCTTGCTATTGATCATATCCGTGCGCGCTAACTTACTCCATGGCGTTGCAGTTTCAGATGATGCTGAGCACGCCCTCCAAGATGGCGCTATCTACTCTCTGGCCGACAACATGGTTGGTGGAAACCAGATTCTAACCAGTTCCTCCAAAAGCTTCCCTGGGCACGTAATTCGTGAACCTCCCCGCAGATTAATGGCGTCCATGCCACAGTCCCAGCTGCTGCTGCTCGTGTCGCAGCAGGGGAAGCGACCCTGGAACTATCTTGGGAGGTCAAGAATGTTTCCTAAGCACCTGACTCATGAACCCGGACATCCTTCGAGAAGAAAGGCGCGGCCTGCAAGATCCTGATACGGTGGGCTGGAATCAAGATCTCGGCTGCTGCGTAGTACTACCATTGTTACTTATGAACTTGGTGATTGTTACGGTGGGCTGGAATCAGGTCGACAAACATGAATGCAATTGTTAGTTATGGAGTTCTTTGTATTGACATAATATTTGACGAATAGTTGAAGTTTTGTTTAAAAAGAA